GTGACCAATTCAAGTGGCCTGGAAGGCGCGCTCGGTCTAATCCTTTCATACCGAGAAAACCCGCATTTCTAAGGAACTCGTGAGCGTCACCGTTTATTCTCCAAACTCCTTTGGCCAACCGTCCCAAAGACACATTCTGACCATCAACATCTCGACTCAACCTTGGCAGCAACTCTTTGTGCGCCGAAATCGCTGGCATGTGAAACTAGAAATCTGATAAGGAGTCGCAGCCCAATGCCACCCCAAACAGAGTGGTTTGGTCAGCCCCACCTCAAATCCCGTGAAAGATTTCAATTCCCTCTAAAATCATATGTACGTGAACAAAAAGGTGACTGTCACCAGAGAGGGGGGAAACGATGGATGTTCATTTACTTTCGGTCGATCCTCTTTGGACCACACGGAGGTCGGATCCCCAGGTCTCCTGGTCCAGTTCTTGCCTCGAAGGCCGTGTCTGTATGCACGAGTCGTCCGAAGCAAGCAATGAACCATCAAAAGGAATTGGTTGTATCTTGACACACTCATCAAATTGCCACAATTAATCCATATAAGTATAACAGTATAGTCTATTTTGTGTCATATGTTGTACTCTTGATGCGCAATGGCTGCAGGATATCGGCGAGTCGCTGCACAAAAGGCCATCACACTGGGCCAGTCCAAGAATGGTGCGTGCGCTGGTACCAGTTGGAGTCTGAAGCGTTCATCAAAACCTTGGATTGTTCAGAAACCTGGAAAACAAATAAATATTCCCCGAAGGAGATTTAACCATAGGGAAAATAAATGAAAATAGACATCACCTTGAGCAACATCAGGAAACTGCACCTGCATGTCCTTGTTTTGTCTACTTGTGGATGACCCATGGATACCCAGGTACACCAAAGTCATCAGGGAGACCCGGCGGCCTCACATGTGAAAAGGCCACGCTCGAGAAGACCGCGCAAAAGAGTACAAAAGTTACCAAGCACGGCTCACATCGCGTCATTGGTTGGTGGTTTCAAGTCTTGAAACATGTTTGCCATTGGGTTGAATCGTCTTGAAATAAATGTCTTGAAGTTGAATCTATCCGAAACCACCAACTGCTGGCCTTTCTTTCGTGTGAGCCAGTCGTCTATCTTTATCTTCGGCTCCTCGCCACGAGCCGACCACCCTTCCCCGGCCGCCTGGCGCAGCGTAGGAGCTCGAAGGCTCGAAGGCATTGCGCCTCGGGGTCCAAGGCCTGGCTCTGCACCGTCGCGCTCCGCGCGTGTTCCCTCCACGCGCTCGCTCCGCGTGGCTCGGTCGTCGCTGGTCGATCGAACAAGACCGGTGGACCACGGTGGGACGGCGCCACGAGAAGGTCAGAATGATGGGCTCCGGGATGCCTCCATGGCACAACCCCCTCACCAATATGCTGATTGAAACATCGCAGTTGGAGGAAACCGTCCTTAAGAAGTGCCCAAACATCTGCGATCACATCCGTTCCATCGGGTGTGTTTTTCAGGCCATTGGAAGACCCTGCAGTGGAACTGCCCAAAACCACCGATCGACTGAAGGGTCCATGTGCGCGGTGCTTCGGCATGGTTTCGTCCTTTAATGCATGGCATAATGATAAGATATGATAATCTTTTGTGTTTGAACGGTCCACACCCTAGCTCATCCCCTTAACTGCAGGGGCGGGGTGGTGGCCCGCCTGTGTTGCACCCAGGGATTGAAAACGGGTGCGCCACTAGACCATGCCGGCCCTCAAAACAACATAGAATATCCTGGTTCCCTTAGTTAATGAACGGTATACAAATGATTGTTCATTTCAAGTATGCAGTATACCATCATGGTATACCATGCATAAAACAGGGTCCACATCCTATAGATCAGTACAGTGTCCAACCACGCGTTGGAGCTTGGGATGCCCAACAGTGCCAGACCATTTGGAGCTCCAAAAGATGTGGTCTATTTGGGCAAGGCCCCCAAACAGGAACATCAACCAATCATAACCAATCGGTGTATAGAATGTTTACATGTCTTACCCGTTTTGCATAACCCATCCATGGTGGCGAGCTACTCCCAACCAGCCCCATTTGTTTGGTCTGGGACACCATGCAGGAAGTTCCCCCCAAAAACCCCTCGATTAATAAGAAATGATTGATCAGACTCCTCGCAGCCAGTATGGGACACCTGGACGTGCACGTCCGTCGACGAAAACGACCAAACGCGTTTCGTCGACGGCTTGGCGACGAAACACGGTGTCCCCATCGACCGCCGCGCCAGAAGGTGGTGCAGCAAGGTGGTCCCCGTCCGCCTTGGGGTGGTGACAAGGACGCAGACGTGGGACGTGCGCCATGGTCGATTTTCGAGCAGTTTACAAGGGGTCACATGATAGATGTTTAGTGAATGTGTTACTTTTAGTAAACATTCAGGCTTCTTATGTTACCCATGTAACATCATGTAACATTACCCCTTTGCCATTTGATAGTCATATGTCATATACAAGGGAGTTTGTTGCACATACCTGGGAAGTCGACGGCCTTAAAAAGCAAATTCAGCGAAATCGTCCAGAAACAAGTCCTGCAGCAGGGACAAATTGCTAATCAAGTACCTTTTGACATAGGCTAGCAGCACAGCCTTGAGCGCTCCAAGAAGTACAGAATGTCTTCCATCAACCACAAGGACTCAGGATCATCAATCAGAAGGAATCAGTGCTCGGTCTCATCAATCCCATACACTCCATGAGGACTGCCGCCAGAAAGACCCCTGGCACCACCACCCCTGGCCGTTTCTCGGCAGTCCTATGGCAGTCCCAAACGGGTCGCGTCTGGGAATGAGTTCTGTGTCTTGTAATACACCTGGAAAAATTAACATGGAACCTGATGGCATGGACCAGACTGGAAGACTGTTTTCCTCTACAACCCAGTGGTTTTCAGGTTCCATGTTAAATCTCCAGTGCGTACTCAGCTCTGGCCCCAACTGAGCTCCCGACGGCAAGCCGACGATAAACATGGGCGGTTGCAGGGCGGTGGAGCTCAAGGAGGGATACCTCTGAGCCGTTTGATGCTGAAATCCCAAAACAACGCCCCAAAACAACCTGCCCCTACAAGCGCTGGGCGGCTCGTTGCGGCTGAGGTTGGTGGTTCAGAAGTCTAAAAGCCACCTGGCAACTCCATCCTGTAACTGGTGGCAGTGGGGCCCTTCCCGAGATTTCATGAGACAGGATATCACCAAATTCCTGTCTCTGAGTCTGAGGGTCGTCACTATAACACCACTATATATAGTTAATGTATATACACATATATATATATATGTATATACTCGAGGCTTTGTGAATCCATCAGCGGTGGATAGGGTTGGTACACTGAACGTCAAGCAGAACATAGGGGCTTCACTGTGTCCGGTGCTTTGGGCCCTCCGATGCCCCCGTCTGTCGGGCCGCCACTGTCGTTCACACGTGCGAGTTCGCACGTGCGGCACATTGGCCAACATGAGCGTATGCGGTGTTTTTTCTCGAAAAAACGTATGTGGTACCTAAACTAAACAAAACAGACTGATGGTCATCCAAATCGACGGTCATCCAAATCGGACTCCTTGGTCATTTGAGGTCTTACAGGTCGCTGCTGCACTATCTCCTTGACGGATGTTTGATTTGTGGGTTGTAGATAGAAGCACCCAGCTGGAATCACTCTGCTACACACGCGCATCGAGGGCTGCCCTGCCAAACTAAGTCTTCAACCACGAAAAAGGTGCTATGCCTTGATCGACTTGACCACGGAACCACCGTTCCAATTGCGTCGGAGGGAAGAAACGATCACGTACCTGTCAAAAAACAAAAATATATTTGGATTAGTTGGATCTTCGCCACATCCCATGCACTCGCGGCCTCTCCAAGTCTCGCTGAAGCACTTCGTGTGAGTGTACATGTGTCTGGCGGCGCTTCTAGTGGCATGAGCCAAGACAAGCTGAATTGGTTGCCTACCAACTGAAGAAATCCTGATCAACATCGACAATTAAGTCACAAGGAGGTTGAATCACTCAAAGGATGATGATGATGATGATGATGATGATGATGATGACGACGACATGATCATGATGGTGATGGTGATGGTGATGGTGATGGTGATGGTGATGGTGATGGTGATGATGGTCGATTGAGGTGTATATGCGATTATATGCGTATATGCGTTCATTGAGGCGTACATCTTATTGACTTATTGAATTTCATCTTGGACGATCACTCGTTTACCCCACCACCTGATTATGATGCTGAATGTTGAATGGCCTCCAGCTAGGTCATGTGATGGAACGATGGAATAAAAGTTGGAGATGAGAAAACCACGCGCCCATGCCAGCCAGCTCAACACCACCGACAATCCTATACACTTAGTCCCAGGAATGATCTAAACTTCTACACCCTTCATTGTGAGCAGCCTAACACCTCCGTCACAGCACGGAAGCTCCGTCTTCCACCAACGCCTGGACCGCCAACGCAGTCACGCAGCGTGCCCACACGCTCAAAGGCACATCCTGCGGCCCCAAAGCAAACGAATGCGAAGCCCAGTTGAAGCCCTAGATTGCAGCACAATGGCACTGAAAAGGAGCACTGAATTGAAAAAACATCCGACCAAATGACGTGTAGTAGGGTGTAGAGTGTAGATCTTGTTCGATGAGTTGGAGTCTGTAGTTTGGAAGATCAGATGGGATGAATTGACTTGCAGAAACCCACACAGCCATGCCTTGGGCTTCAAGGCTCCCCGTAGTTTAGACCAATGACATCATACATCATACATCATATATACATCATACATCATACCTACATTGTCACATACATCATCATACATCATACATGGCTCCCCCATGAAAATGACCCATCTACGGTGGCCGAAAGGCACCGTAGAGACCCCCGTGCGGTCCACGTCGCTTGGGTTTCGTGCCAGCCACGGAGCGCCCGAGCCCGCTCGTCGAGAGCGGGCTGTGCCGAGCTGCTCCACGTTTGACAAGCTGGTTCCCCCCTTCGCCCCAAACGGGATAGGAAGTCTCTTTGTCACAGGGCTGAGGGTCGGAATCGAGCTGCAGTCGTCCGTTTGGGCTGCTGTTCATAGCTCGCGTGACACTACCGCGTGCTGCCGTGCTGGCTGACCATCGATCCGCTTGGCCTCAAACGGCTCGCTGGAGATCGAGATGAGCTCTTCAACGGACTCCCAAAAGTCCAAACTCCGCAAGCCTCTGGGAAGAACCTCCCCCATCTCATCGAGCCGTCGACACATTGTAACCCTTCCCCTGGTGCCGTGCGAAGAGTTTCCCTTGAACGAAAGGCTCTGAAGGTTGCTGGGCCACTCCACTCCCTCCAGACTTTGGCTGAAGCAAGTGTCAAAAGACAGGCTCTGGAGGCTGCTGGGCCAAACCACTCCCTCCAACGTCTGGTTGAAATCATAGCCAAATGAAAGGCTCTGGAGGCTGTTGGGCCAAGTCACTCCCACCAGGGTATGGTTGAAATCATTGCCAAATGAAAGGCTCTGAAGATTGTTGGGCCAAGCCACTCCTTCCAGGCTCTGGTTGAACCTGTGACTGTACGAAAGACTCTGAAGGCTGCACGGCCAAGTCACTGCCTCCATGCACTCGTTGGATTGTTCATTTCTCCGATCTTCACCGTTGCGGTGGCCCCAAGAAACAGCTAAACCCAACAAGGGAAATTTGGGCTCTCTAGGATCTGGGCCGTTGTCAAACGCAAGGCTCTGAAGGTTGCTGGGCCAATCCACTCCCTCCAGACTTTGATTGAAAGAATAACCAAATGATAGGCTCTGGAGGCTGCTGGGCCACGACACTCCTTGCAGGCTCTGGTCGAAATCTCTGTCAAATGAAAGGCTCAGAAGGCCGCGGGGCCAGGCCACTCCCTGCAAGCTCTGATTAAAATTTTTGCCAAAAGTCAAGGTCTGAAGGCCACTGGGCCAAGTCACTCCCTCCAGGCTCTGGTTGAAATCTCTACCAAAGGAAAGGCTCTGAAGGTTGTGGGGCCAGGTCACACCCTCCAGGCTTTGGTTGAACATGTTGCCAAACGAAAGGCTCCGGAGGCTGCTAGGCCAATCCATTCTGGTCAAAGTGTCGTTGAAAAAGCAGCCGAACGAAAAGCTCTGGAGGCCCTTGGGCCAAGCAGCCCCCATCAGAGTTCCAATGCACGGAAGATAAGCCTAGGTCAATGCGACGCCTACCAAAAGTACCAGTGAAGTGTGACAATGTATGAGATCGGAGATTGGGGATTGACGAGGGACACCATGATGGGTCAACCAAGTGGTTTGTCACTGGACCAGAATTTGCCATCATAGTCTGAGAGAATCCAGGGGAGGAAATCGCTTTGAGGGAGTTCATGAGTGGTGAAATCATCTTTGGGCCAGGCCAAAGCCATCAGAGTTCCCAGGCCTCAAGATTTGTGGAGACACCTCCTCAAGATGTTGAAGCAGAAATCCTTAAATAAAAGAGCTGACTTCAAGGTGGAAATGGTGATGTTTTTTTGGGGTGCATGTTGCTGGCCACTCATCCAAATCATTGAAGGAGAACCTCTGCAAATGTTGTTCAGATCAACCTCAAAAAGACTCTCAGCTGCCAACATTCTTTTGTGCTCCCCGTGGCATGGACACTTTGGGGAAATGCACCAGAAATGCTGTAAGCACCAAAAGAACTGCCAAATTGAAGGATGCCACAAACCTGTACAGTACATGTGCATTCATATGCTTTGTAACTTGGTGAATGCATCGTTTTCTTGATGTTCTTGCATACTTACGTCACGGTTTGTTCTGGTTCTGAGCTGCGCAAAATAGTTCTGAGTCATGTTAAATACGACAACACCAAATTACAGTTTATGGGGTGCCCAGCTTGTTCGCAAGAACAGGCACATCAGCAACAAGCAAAAAAAAGATCCAAACTTGGACTTTCAGCTTTCAACATGTCACAATGCTGGACTCGATAAACTTCAGAATGCTGTTTATAAGAGCTATTATTCTGGATCATTTTGGCTGTCTCATGGAAAACTATTTGGGACCCCACCAGCAATCCTAGTTTGACTTTGTTGATTGAACGGTCTTTGGGTGGGGATCACACCAGCTCTCAAACACTTGCTTAAGACACTGCAAAGACTTCAACCAATTGCCAATGCCCTCCACACTCTTGTTGGAGCCCAACCAACGGCAGTAGCCAAGCCACATCGAACTTCAGGTCCTTCACGCTCATGTTCCAGGCGCTGCCAAACGAAAGCGCCACGAGGTTGCTTGGCCAATCAACATAATTCGATTCTGGGTCAAAGTTCAAACCGAACGAGAGGCTCTGCAGGCTGCTGGGCCAAGCCACCCCTGTCAGACTCTGGTTAAACCCGTCGCCGAAGGAAAGGCTCTGGAGGTTGCTTGGCCAAGTCACTCCCTCCAGGCTCTTGTTGAAGCATGTTCCAAATGAAAGGATCTGAAGGTTCATGGGCCATGCCACTCCTTTGAGGGTCTGGTTAAAATTAGAACCAAAAGAAAGACTTTGGAGGCTACTGGGCCAAGTCACTCCTTGCAGTCTCTGGTTGAAGTCATTGCCCAAAGAGAGGCTCTGGAGACTGGTGGGCCAAGCCACCCCTGTCAGACTCTGGTTAAACCTATTGGCCAATGAAAGGCTTTGAAGGCTGACCAGGTTCGTCAGCTGAGTTAGCTCACCAAGCCCTTGTAGCTTTTGTATCCCCTCCAGAGCCATCGACGCGTCCTCAACGGGATGGCCCTTGAGGCACATCCAAGCCTCCTGTAGGTTCGCTGCCTCATAAGTGTAGGACAAAGAGACTGGTTGTTTTTCTGCCAGGCCTTGTTCGGTCAGAGTCTTCTTCAATGAAAGCTTCTCAGTCTCTTTCAGCACTGAGACTCTTGCTCCAGCTTTGGATGGAAGTCGATCCCGAATCATTCTTCGAAGTTCAGAACCTGTGAGAAGCTTGGAGGCTTGCAAGTTTAATTCGTCTCCGTGCCACCCCAGCACCTTGGTCCAAACATGTCCAAACAACTTTCCAGAAGGGCATCGCAAACTCCCCTCCGCCGTGTCAAGGACCATCCGGACATGTGGTTACCTAGCGAAATCCTTTCATAGAGCTTTTATGACGTTGCTCACCTAAAAACAAAACCAGGGTCACCTGAATCTGCAGCTCTGCATCCCGCGCGGATGATCCGCTCCGGTAGCCGGCCGACATGGCGGGGAAGATCGAGCACCACATCTTGAGAAGGTAGTAGATATTGGGTCTGGCTTAGTTGAAGATGGCGTGTTCACCAATTCCAGGTCATGTGCAGAGGACATTTGATCCTTTTTCGCGGTATCGTGCAGCAAGTATTGCTCGCAAGAAGACAACAATTTCTCTCTCTCTCTCTCTCTCTCTCCAGGTTGGGGAGGTTTGATTGATTCATCTACCGTCAACATGATCTTCATCCTCTCTGCAGGTCTTCATCCAATCGATTCGGCTTGTCAAGAGGGTCAAGAAGATATGCTTCCAACTGGAGCTTCTCTGCTGCAGTTATCTATAAGAATCCTTCGAAAGGCAGGCAGTCATGTTGTATGGTAGGCAAAAACCCTCCGGACCCGGTTTTCGTGTGGTTTTCTCGGATGCACTGGACGGGTCGATAGAAGTCATGAACCACTACCCATTTGGATTGAAACACCTCTTCATTGGGGGTTATGCAGTTATGCATCGGTTCTTCATCATGTCTTACAGTCTTACATAGTCTGAACCTGAACGTCCGCTGCGCGAACCGCGTCGCCCGACCCCAAAGTACGTCGCCTGTAGCCGCCGCCGCGGATCGAACGCCGCCGGTCGCTCGATCCGATCCGATCCGGCTCGAGTCCTCGAGGTCCGTGGCGAAGAGCCGAAAGGCCTTCTTGGCCTCGCGTTTCGTCGAGCGACGGAGCGCAGCGAGCGGAAGGCGGCCCCGTGAGCGGAAGCGGCCGATGGACCACCGCCGGAGCGGTTCTTTTTGTAGGCAACTGCGAAACAGAAATATCAATAGAAGGAATCAATTCAAGTTCACACTAATTAGATGTTTTGTGAAAAAAGACACTAGAATATCTTGCGCCAGGTTGTGACCATGTTGTGGTTTTGTTGTTTGCTGTTCCCTAAACTCCCACCAGTCGCCCGACCGCGCAAAGAATGGCCAGCGGCTAGAAGATGACACACTGTTTGTCAAGGTAACAATGCCAAGCAAAGCTGCCTTCTAGGCAACGAGATCAACAGCCTGCAAACAAATTGGTTTCTGTTTGACCAAACGTCCCACTCCTAGTCCTTCGTGTGTAACAACTTCCCGCGTCCCATCTATACTCCTGACCCGAAAGTGTCACGGCGCTGATCTGAAATAAACAAGCAAGGAGTCCATGTGTGATGTTCCCGATACTTTGTAGAACGTACATCTACATATTGTGATCAGGAACATGAAGATTAAAGGTCAATCCCCCCAAATTGATAAACACCTACTGCAGAATTGGATTGCAGGGGACACTCACCTACTAGAACAGAAGAACACCAAGAACAAATATATATATATATAATATATATATTGCATATATGTTCTTTAAATGGACATTTGTCACATGACACTTCCGAACCATCTTTTTGACACCCCGTGCTGTCCAACCAGATCCGTTCCCTTCGGCGCCGACGCCTCGTCGGGGATGTTGCTACTGTCCACTTGCTGTATCAAGCGCTGTACGTCCAGCCTGCAGGACAGGAGGAGGCGCGTTTGGCGTTTTTGGAATAGGTGAAGAGAATCAAAGGCTAACAATAACTAAGGCCACGCTGCTCACTCATTCGCATCCCATCATCATCCTCATCAACCTCATCCTCATCCTCATCCTCGTCGTGATCTACGTCATCTGTGAAGCGAAGGGTGCTTGTGTCACCTTCACCCATCTAACCCGTCTCTCTACCCGGATTAGAATGAATTAAACGCGCTCGTTGGAGGGACACGTCGCCATGGTTGTCCCATTTAGTCCAATTGTGGCAGGAATTCACATCCTTTACATCAAAGTTACCAGCTACTTTTGAAGGATGCCCAACCAATCTAAACCAGTTGGGATTCAGTCTCCAATCTCAGCAGTGGAGATGCACAAATCCTCAGGATGAACGAAGGTCTCAAAGAAACGATCGATAGCCTCAGGATCAATCCAAACAATACGAGGAATGCCACAAAGGCTCTTAGCCTGTGCTTGCAAGTGTAGGGAAAAAGTCCTAGCTTAGTCAATGCACATGAAACAAGGTCGGCTAACAGCGGCTAACAGACTCAGCTTCCCCGGAAAAATAATAGAGATGACCCTATAACTCAAACTAACACAGACCCTGACGTCCGTCGTGGTCCGTTTCGACGATTTTCCTCTACCAACCGACGGGGGTTTTCAGGTTCCCATGGGATCGTGGACACCTGGGTGTATCTGGACATGTTTAGACACATCAACCGGCCTGGGAACCACCAGGTCCAGCAATGACGCTTGTGCTCGAGGCAGCCTGATGTGCACCAAGCAACGCCTCCATGCGCCTGATGTGGCCCAGCGCGTCCGCCCTTGAAAGGAATATGGGAAGACCAAGCGTACATGAGCCTGAGAGAGTAATAACAAGTCAAAAAGCCAACATGGAAACTGGTCCTTCTAGTCTGGTGGGACTGGCCATCCCGAGGTGCTTGGCCAAATCGGGTTCGTGGGTGCTCGCACCCTGAAGCTTAGAGAAGCCGCCAGCGAGGATGATCCGCTTCTGAGTCCAGGAAGGAACTTCCAAGGATGATCCAAAGACGGTCAGAATGGAGGGTTTAGCCGGTTTAGCGTGTTGGTTTTAGCAACGCCCTCCTGCATGGTGATCCAACGTCAGAATGAATTGATTCATTGTTGTTGTTCTTCTTTTGATCTAAATAGCCAGTCGACAGTTTGTGCGCCAGTCGAGCAACGCCTTCAGTGACCGTTGGATCCAGTCAGTTCCTCATGGTCCTCGGGCCGTCGGCTGGCTCAACGCCGCTTCGTCCGACGTGAGTCCGACGCCGGACGCCCGCCTCGGTAGGTGGACACATGCGCGGTCAACGCGGTGGCTGCCCGGAGCCCCAAGAGGTGGGCCATGGCGGCGGAGATGGCGCGAAGAAGCGACGAAGCGGAAGCGAAGCTTGCGAGGGAACCTCGGATGAGTGTATCTGATCATGTCGATCGTGTGTGTGAAGTTGATATGAAAAAAACGGCCTCGGCTTACCAAAAACCATCCGGATGCATTGTTCGGACCAGCGAGCAAATGTTGTCAATGTGCCAGGGAAAATACGGTATGATGTATTGTCAAATGTCTATATTGGGCAATTAACTCCTCAAGCGGTAGAAAAGTGATTCCGATTTGAGAATGTGTTGGCAACTGGGCAACTGTTTAATGTGTGGGACAGAGGGTTGAAAGCTTGACCACAAAATAAGGATCCACAAGTGACTGTGCATCAAATGGAGCTGACAGGTCCCTCAAAAAACTAAAAATCATGTTTGTTGAGATTGTCTGGAGCGCATTTAGGAGATCTTAAGAGCACAAACATACAGCTTTCACTCACTATTCTCTTTGAACGATTTACAGGGTGGAGGTTACGGTTACGATCACACTGTAAATACGCCGTGTCTCAAAGAGTTGTCCCTTTCTGTGTTCAATACGACGACGTACGGCATCGTACGACGACTTCCAATTCGGAATGGGCACGTCTAGGAGCTGCGCGGGCCGGGCGGATCTGCTTCCAAACAATGCTGAATCAAAGGGCACCGATGTTTTAACTCTGTCCAATGCATGCGGGCGCGCTCGCCGGTTTTTTGAAGAACCGCCAGACGAAGCCATAAGAACTTCTCTGACCGATCTCACTTCCTCCATGTTTTGCAAACCTTCTGACGGATCAAAACAATTCAAAGCATATTGCCCCATCTGTCAGGGCATGAACTGCATGATAGGCCACTACTGACTATGTCATGAGCATTGTGATCCAGACGATATGAGCATTTGGGTGCCCACATCCATATCCCAAATGTCACATGGCTTAACCACCTAATGGCTAAAACAATCTTAAAATGCTTCAACGCTCCACGGATCCGCTGGAAATAGGTGGTACCAGCACGCCAGGTCGGTTTTTCAACGGTCCCGCACCCGCGACACGCGCGACACTGCACGACAGACCGCAGCTCTGTACATGGATTTGGACACGTCGACATTCAGATGCTAATCTCTGGAATATGGACAAGGTAATCCAACATGGACAGGGTTTCCCCAAAGAAAATCCCGGCCCTTAATCTGCCAGTCTTGGCACCAATCAAGTGCTATTGCCAAAAGAATTACGACGGCCTATCCGTTCAGCAGAGTCTTCTGCACTCAGCAACACACCTACTTGCCACCAGGCCAAGCTGTACAAAAGCCACAGGTCACCACACTCAGAGTCTCACTGTGGACGGCACAAACCGCCACATGGACTACAGAACTACATCGCTGCGAGCGCACATTTTGTGAAGGCTAGCTACTGCTATTGGCGCATAGACCATCCCCAACTCAAGCCGGGCAATCCGGCGACGTTCGGAAGCACCGAACTCGGCGACCTGAGATCTGAAGCACCGAACTGGGGTCTGCCGAATCGGAACTCTTCGCCCGCCATGGAATGGTGACATTGACGACATCCAAATCAGCCCCATGTGGTCGTAACTCTTCGCTCGTCGTCGTCGTCTGGGAATCGTTTTTTCGGAAGACCGACCGGAGGAAAAATCATGTTGGGGCACCGAGTTATGCATGGAATCCTGCATGCGAGTCATGAAAATGGTCATGAAACTGGCTGGCTGCCCACCTGTTTGATCCTGACTTAGCCGCCCAGCCATGGCGAGCTAGCCCTGTGCAGAGAGGAATTCCACCGCCTGCTCCACGTTTCCCTGGCACGAAGCACACTGTCCCTAAAAGCAAAGTTGTTGCAGAGAGCTCGAACATCTCAACGACATCATTCACATTGTCATACACTGTTGGTTAGTTTGGAGAAGACTTTAAGTGAAACCAGACCGTCCTGAATGGTCCTGGAATTCTTTGCCAAAAAATGGCCAATCCTGAGTCCTATGTGTGTATCTTCCATGTTCCACCTGGCCTTGGTGTGTCGAAGTAGGTCTTCCAAGGCCTGTGAAGAAAGAGCAACAAGGCCAGCAGCTCCAAATCGCGAAGTAGTGATCAATTCTGCTGCATCCATCTATCAAAAACTGATAGACTGACGGAGAAACATGATTAAGGCCAATTAAGGCAAAGTAGGTTCAAGAAAGTCTCATCATACTGACGACTCAACAGGAAAACCTCGAGCCAGCGGACCTTGTGATCACACCACACCCCTGGTGCAACGGCCCATCAGCCCAGACATCGATGTTGCTGGCTCAAACATCGATTTTTGGATTGAGTTTGTTACGTACCATTGCTGCTTCCTGTAAACAATATGAAAAACAGTTGACCTTTTTCCATCTCTTTATTAGTGGGGAAGCCAACCCCCCAAAAAAGGTTCAAGGTGATCCACTTTTCCTGGGTAGGATCATGAAAGCTTTCAATGGCTCATGACGGCCTCTTCAGGCCATCACCTTTCCCTCCTCTTTGGGTATGCAGGCCTTTCTGCACGGCTCTGAAGTCAGCTATGTTAGCTCAATTCGCACCTCACGGCCACAGCAGAAACCCATCTCTTCCAAAAGCTCCACTGCCAGACCCCCAGCGCTCGCAGCTCTCGCTCCTCGGAACGTGGAGCACCGGACAAAATGGAACCTGGGTGTTGAACCCAAACCATTCATGGGACTGGAATAGTTATCTTACATGGATGGGTCACGTTTATGGGGTAAATGATGGTGAATGTATGTAACCATTCTGACAATTCTTTACGATTCTATACATGGATGGATATGGATGGTCTGGGCAATAACGGCCCGAAAGCCGTAGAACCTGGACCACCAATGGTTCGCGAAGAGTCATGTCTGAGTCTATCGAGTCTATCAATCAAATGTATTCCCTTTTATCAACACATGAAAATGTAGAGTGTAGAGTGTAGAGGCACCACGCTTCAACCCTACTTGCACGTCGCTCCTGCTTCAGCATACCCAGCTTCAGGAGCATCGCAGCCTGGACAGCTGAGGTGCTTCAGGAGCGTCGCGACCAAAAGAAAGCACAGCTGAATCCGTGCTTGGGAGCGAACTGGATCTCCACGGATTCCGTGGAATTGAAGAATAACCGCAACATACCACAACCTGGCTGTGTGATGAGTGTGATTAGTGGTCAACTTCAACTGTTACAGTATTGTTGCAGTATAAGATCAGGAAACAGTGATCAAACATTCAGTCATCCTGCAACAAAGTCAAACTAGACACAATACAACAATTGCATTGATGCACAAAATCCTGGCCTACTCTGGAAACACAGTTCATCCTGCAAACAGTGGAAATTAATCTATTCATATCAGGAAAGATGGGATCTCTTTCATCAACCATTTGGTTCCATACTTGATATAGCTTGATGCCACATAAAGCTCGAGTTGAAACAAACATATAATTATGACAACATGCGGTTTACCGGATAGCCCAAAGTTTTCAAAGGCTACTTCAAGTCTACTCAACTGGCAATCCGAGCTACATATAGGTACATGACAAAACTGTTAAGGGATCCCAGGTGCAACAAATTAACTGCAACCGAATCCAATATAATCCAATAACAAACAGCCATGACAATGATAGAATACTAGGGGGATCAAGGATGTGCCTCCCAAAAAGGGAAACAGCCAGTCAAAAGCGTGCGTACACGCTTTAACACACAAACAAACACACCACCCACACAGTCGCTCCACGTCCAAGATGCGCCGCAAATGCAGCAGCAGCTGGCGCATGCTGTCGCCGAAGAGCTGTCCGCACCGGTGGCAGTGGAGGCACGCCTCCTCCGGATGGCGAGGATGAAGAGCCCGGATGGCGAGGAGATGGGTAGGGAGATGGGTTGTGCGTCACATGCGCAACGGGCAGCATCCTTTGTGGGAAGCATCGATCTTTCACATGGGCCCACAGAGATTCCTGTTCCATCTAATAGTTTCACCACCGTTGTCCCGACAGTCCTTGGTGAGGCTTGACAAGTGTTTCTCTACTACATCTTACCCAAACAAGTCAATTCCGAACAATCTATGCACCAAGTGGAACCACAATTGTGGGGATATACTGAATACACCCTGGGAGTCAAAGACTATAAAAAGAATGGTCTGACTAGGGGACCTGAGTTTGGGAACTTCCTTTACTTCAGCCGGTCAAAATATCGTCGAACTGGACTTCAGCCGGGTACATATAAATACATGTACAGTAAATATCCGTAAATATCCGAACCCTGCGTGCATCGAACACCGAACCCAACCCTTCGTCGCCTCGCTCGGGAGCGCTGCTCTGCGGTGCACATCGCCCGTGTCGAGGTCACGTGCCAAGTCTTCCAAGGCGATGAGGCCGTGGGCAGCTCCTGTAGGAGTGAAAAAACAAAAGTCTGTCTGCGGGATTCATCTGTCACTAGAGATGTTCCCTATATAATCTATATATATATATGCACATAACAAAGGTTCTTTTATTCTACGCAGAAATGTTGGGTAGAACAATCAGAAATTCCTGCATTTGTGTGTAGCATTAGCATTGATTCTCATGCCCTCACTTCAACAAGCACTTCGACAGCAAGCCGGAAGCGGAAACAGGTTGGGAATATGAACGAGGATTTCCAAAATTTGGACATGTCAACTTCGCACGAACTGGCGAAATCTGGCCATGCGGCCTGTCCAATCACGACCCCCCCACATCCATCCTCACCCTACGTCCATCCTCCAACATTCAGAACCAGATTCCTACATGTTCAGCTCGGGGACCCCACATCCAGCTCCCGCTCGCTCCGCTCGCTCCGCTCCAACACCCGGTTCGTTCCTGTGGTGAACTCCAGAAAGTGTCTTCGTGTGAGGTCATTGAGGTCCGGCGCCACCAAATCCATGCTCAAGACATGAGCGAAGACCTGCAGGGAACGAGACGTCAGCTCGTCAGCTCGAACGAAGAGGTGAGCTCGTGTGGGAACGAATGAAGACGTTTTGGGGTGAGGTTGTTGTAATTTCTGTGGGATGGTTTTGGGTTGTTGGTCGCTTATGGTTGTTTGGTCCTTTGTCACCTGTGTTTTGAGATGGTAGAGGATATGGCTGGAATCAGAGATATGACAATATGGAAAGTAACATATTTATATATAATAGACTTCCACTTGCAACCAGATCCTTTCCAAAAAGGAAGTGGGATCTTTGGATTTCTATAGTCATATTATGTATATATATATATATTTATATATACTAGTATGTCATAGTTGTTTCTGTTCACTGGGAGGACAACAGGTCGGACATCAGAGATTTTAAGTAAACAAGGTTCAGGGATGTTCAGGGTTGTGATTAAAAATTCAGGGGCCACAAGCGGAATTCTTACAACATGCAACTCGTCTATGTTTGTTGCCTCAGTTTTCTGTATGAACGAGTATATACCAGTTCTCGAATTCGAAAACGACGTAACTTAAATCCTCCAACGTTCGTCATTCCTCCTTTCCCTCCTGCACAAGAGACGTCTCGCCTGAGAGTCTCGTGGCAACTTTCGGGTTTGGACGCCCACCTGAACGACCGTTCGGTGAGGAGTGTGGATGCATCGGTGAGGAGTCAGGTTTGGATCCAATAAAGAGATTGTTTAACGGATGTTGTTTCTTCAGTTTTAGCTTATTGCTATATGAGGATTCCTGAGTTGGTAGTTTGTTTTTGAGTTGTCCTGAAATACCTACAATCAGTGGTTTCAAATGTCCTTTCAAGATTCTCATGTAGATCATATCATGAGGCTCTCGGATACATGATGTGTTAAAACATACTAGTATGTGTTCAAAAGATCAGGAATCTCGACTTCGGTGTTTGCCCTTCAAAATGCTATAGGCTCGTTGACTAACATGGCCTAACATGGGGCCAATCTCCCGATCTGGACCTATACCTCCGACCCGTTGAGGAAGATCCCCCAATGGGGATCTTCCTCGAAGGGTCGGGGAACATGTTGTTGCATGCCCTAGGGATCCACATACCTTCTCAGGTTCGGCACGACTGGACCCTCCTGGCATCTACATCAGAGTGTCGAACACATCACCTTACCTCAGAGGGTATGTGGATCAATTAGGGATGTGCTAAGTTGAAAGCAAACACGACAATCTTGGGCACAACTTTTATTGAAAAGTTTTGAACAGTTAAGAACCATCCAGTGGCTCCACATCTGGGAGTCTACCAGTTTGTCACATGTTACTCACAAGGGAAACCGGTGTTCGGCCTTGAAGGCGTGCTTCCCCAAAAACTCCGTCAGCAAGCGGCCATAGAGCCCCAAGCGCCTGCGTGGCCGTGCTCGGCATTGCGGTGTGGTTCGGGGGGTGGCACCATTTGTGGATCAGTTCACCAAATAAAAACAACCTGGTGAGCAATACAAACATCAACAGGTAGGTGTCTTTCTTGTGATCTGTGAGGTGTCTTTCTCTGTTTTCAGCCTCCCCCGTCGCCAGCTCATCAATACTAATACCTTTTGGACACGGCACGTTCTTCCCAAGACAAGTTGTATAATATGGTGGCACATTGAGCCTAACATATCACCACCAAATGATCTGCACATCACTCTTTTGTGGGAAATTTCCACGTGGACAAGTCCCAAGGGCGCCTGAGCAACGGCGCCTCGCACCGTCCCAAGTCGCAGAAGCGCAAGGGGCGCTTCGGGGTGATGACCTCGCTGAGCGCAGTCCGGCGTGGTCGAGGGGCGCTGAAAAAGTGTTCCAACCTATGTCCTTCGCATCCCAGTTTGGTCATGTTTTGACCCGATGGTGTGAAAAGCCAGGCGCCCCAGGCACCCCGAAGTGCTGGTTGACCCCAAGGCTGTAGATGCTATGATGGTGTATATATATATATGCGAACGGATGGAAAGGTGTGCCCTGGCCCCGTTCTAGCTCTTAGGTCAACATGAAGCTCGCGCGCTAAAGCTCCTTTTTACCTGGTTGGGCACTTGAGCCAAAAGTATATGGCATGTACCTGTATAGCGACTATACTGGGACCCCATCCCTATTGACACCCCCCACATCCGTACTTCGACGGGGAAGGGAGATGAGTGGATGTAAAAAAAACCGGAGAACGAATCACGTTCCCAAAAGTGTATTGGAGGTCAACCAGTATGTCCTATTGAATTGAATTAGCAAAAGATCTTGCATTCGCTTGAAAGTTGGATCAAGCAGGCAACGGAGCTACAAGCAGAAAACGTGCACCTACCTATGGTATCATGCGATTACCAACGGTGTGAGACGCAATCCTATCTCACCCCATGATGCCAAAACGGTCACCATGAATTACCCGCGATCCCTCAGTACTTGAAGTACCGGAAGTGGCATGCCGGCATGACCCCAATGTTCAACCATTCGTGAGTTGTCGCATGTAGCCAGCGCCGACAAAGCCAATGTAGTCCTTGATGAGCTCAACGTTCCTTGGATTTCCCGCTCGGATCTGCTCTTCGAAGGACTTCAATTTCCTTTCTTGGACATCGGATACCTCTATGCCATAGTAGCGGCATGCAACGAGGATTTCCTTCGTGACATTCTTCCTCTCCGATTTGATGGCGGGACTAATGTCGATGAATTTGTATGGAGCGGCACTTTCGTCATCTGGTTTCTGGTAGTAACTGTATCGGCTCGCTCCGAAGGTCTTCTTGATCATACGTCTGATGAAATTTGAGATGAATGCCAATTTCTCGATGATCTCATCCTGGGTCTCAGACTTTCGAGCCTTTGGATCACTCATGCTGCGCTGAGTGCTGCCGACCTCTTTGAGGTACTTGTGGCTAAGCCCGCAGCGGATTGCAGTGATCATCATCGGATGAACAACATTGGCGTGGAATTCATAGATCTGCCACGCTTCTGCTGCATACACGTCGTCGGTCCATCTGCTCATGCCTACGACCTCGGCTCTCTGGAGACGTCTTGGAAACCCAGTATCCGGATCATTCGGTACTATCGGCCATCTATTGTGCGGAGTGTCATGCCGCTGTCCATCGTCGAACATTCGCAGTACATCTTCACGACTTTCAAAGCAGTTGATGTCGAACGTTGCGTTGGCCAAGCTCTTGATCAACTTCATCAACCTCAAATCAAATTGCTGTGCGACGGCAAAGTTGTGGTCGATTGGGATCGCAGCTTCTTGCGGCAATTCGTCAATCGCGAAGGGGAAAGGCTTCGGAAGTTCATTCCCGTATCCATCTTGAGGGACCTCCCGATATTCGGGTTCGCCTTCAGCTTCGTCCGGTCGTTCCTTCAAAATGATAGGAACTTCCTCCTCTTCCTCTCCTTCGGATTCCTCGATCTCAATGACCTCTTCGGCTGTCTTGCGTGCATTCTTGATGACTTCATCGATGTTTGCACCTGCAGCAGAAGTTGTTTCACCGGAAGAACTGGCTGGGACATCTTTCGGAGGTGATCGTTGATTGCGGTCCCTTGTCTCCTTGGGTACCACATGTGTGAGCTTTCCATTCGCGATCAAAACCGCTACGCAGTGCGGACATATCGTCAATCGCACATCGACTTCGCCAAGACAGTTAGGACACGGCCTTGAATCGTAGTCTTTCATCGCTCGGCGGTACACGATCTCCTCGAAGAGTTCCTGCCACTCGGTGCTATCATATTCTGGGTAAACACCATTCTCCTCGATCATACCCAACAGCTTTGAGATTTTGGCGTCGTCCTCGGAGTAGGTATCGTCTAGGACCTCAACCGCTAAACTCTCAAGCTTTTGAAAGCGTGGAATCATGATCGGGTTTCCGTATTTGGACTCCAGAACAAGGTAGCTTCCAGGGTCGGGTTCCCCCCTGAGTAACCGGATCCATTCGATCTCCTCAGGCTGTCCGGGTTCCGCATTGTCGCATTGCAACCATGCCCCTTTAACCACATCGAAGGGAACGACGTTCTCAACCAATAGAGAGCCAGTCGCTGAGATGAGAAGTCCGTACTCCTGCAGCTTCCACACCGGAATGTAGAGAACCACTGGGCGATCACTCAATGCGACCTTACGACCCAGCCAAGGTTTACCCTTGTAGCCCTGCTCCCAGGCCCATGGCGGAAAACATGTGAAGTGGATAGAATCCCTTCCCGATGATCCGAGACCTCCCGGCACTAGCCCTCGTCGCATGATTGAAGTCAGCGCTCCGAGATTGGTAGCGTGAAATGCAGTCACCATAGATAGGGCCATGTCGTTGGTCATCCTCGACCCAATGTGGTCGATGTCAATGGTAACGTCATAACCTCCGCCGTCCGTTGAGTGTGCCGAGGCTGCTCTTATAGCCACGGGAAAGCACCATCCATCGCTATGGTGGAGTCTTCCTTTGGAGATTCCCATGTCCTTGAGTTCGTTAATCCATCCCTTCTCCATCGGGTCATCAGGCTCATTGAGTTCATCAGGGTGAACACGGACCGCCAACATTTGGAATCTGACCCTCTTGGTTATGCGGAAACACTCATAGTTTTGGTCGAAGTATTTCTCCAAACGCGCCTTCTTGGTCACGATATCTATGTTGCCGTAGTGATAACCGTCTTCCCAAACTGCATTATCACCTAACAGGTCTTCCCATGACACCCATGCACCTTCATCGCATTTGATTGGTGCGAGTCTTCCTCCTGTCCTGAACTGGCGCCCAATTCGATGTCTCAACTTCGCTCCCAATCGACGACTCAGGGCCTGGCTTGTTTGGCTGTATTCAGGTACTCGACAGTCTGGAGTCGGATACTTGTGGTTGCCGTAGTCGGAGTTCTTTGCAGCGAAAGTGACTCCGTTGATCGGTACTAGTTCAACTTTCCCGACCATCGTCATGGGGTCGATCGGCTTGTATCCCTTCTCCCTCCGTGTTGGTAGGGGGTAGAAGTGATGACATGCCTTTGGTGTGAGGGAGCTGGAGTGCACAAATGCCTTCTCGACAAATTCATACACCTGCTTCATATCCTTAGGGCCTGCTTCCACAAGCTTCCGCCCATTGTAGGAATGTGGTCCTCCTTCGACTCCATCAGCACTTTCGATCAAGGTGAATCCGTCATGGTCGAACATTGTCACGACTCTTGCTTTTAACATTTCTTTGCGTTTGAACTCGCTGTCGACCTTCCTTTCTGGAGTGGGCGACGCTCTCTGCTTCTTCTTCTTAGGCTGTTCGGTTGGATGTCCTGATGGTACATCGTCGGGTGCAACCTCTCCCTTCACTCTCTTCTTCCAATCACTCAACACAGAGGTGACTGTAGGTGAGGATGAAAGGGTCTTCTCGCAATTGAGAGTGGTGTGTCCCGACTCCATGCAGTGGATGCAGAATTCTGCCCGCCCGATCTTCTTCTCAAATTCGTCGATGGCGTGCAGTATTGATGCTTTCGGGTCGGACATGTCAACATCTTGCTCCTCCTTCTCCTGTACGCCTTCAGTCTCCATATCGACACCTTCGGTCTCCATATCGACACCTTCGGCCTCGGGCTCGCCAGTGGCTTCTGTTCCCTGTTCTGGTTCTTTCCCAATTTCGAAGAAGTGGTCGATGTCGAATTCAGGAGGCGGCATAGTCCTCATGCGAACGAGAATCAGCGCCACGTTTGCCGCCTCATCAGAGTGCGGGTCCATGGTTCTGATCATCGATCGCTTTCGGTTCTCATACGTTGTCCTGTCGTACAGCGATGCAGTGACGCGTTTGATGGATTCCTCTAATCCCGTCCTCAAAGCTTCGATGTCACCCCATCCTCTGAACAGGTGTCTGAAGAGTTGAGCAATTTCGAACATGCCCAGCAACGCCTCCACCATGTCACCTACCCGTTCCTCTGTGGGATCATCTCCGAATATAGTGCGGAATACATCGGGTTCCAGTATGGTCTTGAGGTATTTGGTGTAGCATACGTTGCCAAGGTCATAGGATCCCTGGAAGTATTTGGCGTTGCCGATTATCTGCTTTTCCACATGGATGCTGGGTCCTCTCCTCGTTTTGAAGAAGTTCTCCGTCATTGTTGATGACAACCTGATCCCCCCGAAGAACGAAATCTCCTTCTGGAAACCTGGATTCTCATTGAAGATGATCATCGCCTCGTGTAAAAACTTCATCAAGTCATCGTGCGGGTTCATCTCTGAGATTGCGATGGTGGGAGAAGATACCGTTTGCCCCATGCCGAAGTTGTGAAGCAATCGAGCACATGCATGAAATCGCTTCTGGACGTAGTCTTCTGCGGACATCCCACGGCATCTGTTTGCTGCTCCGTTGATCCATTCCGCATAGCAATCGTCTTTCAAATCGGAGTCTATGGGATGGCAGACCAGACAGTAATCGCAGCAAATTTCCTCACCCTCCTTAAAGTCATCAATGACGTACCACCTTTGAGTCCTTGAGTATATTGGTTCTGGCTGAAGGACTCCCCAGTACTCATCCATCCATGGCATCTTGTTCTCTCTCCTTACCTTCTCCCTCTTCCTCCTCTCAGACTCATTCTCACCTGAAGGCTCCGCAGTGGACTGATAAGCATGGCTTCCTCTCACGGAATCTCCGAACAAGTACTGATACAACCTCTCTTTGTCCTGCAACACGTGTTCCAAGTTGGGATCGTGGAGGCTATTCGCTTCGGTCAAGGGATCCGGTGCCATAAAGCAGGAAGCGAGCATCTTTTCTCTGAACAAGTACTTTTCCATGACAGCGTGGACCAAAGAGGTTCCAGACTTCATAGAGTAGGGGTGACCGC